AATTTTAGGTAGCATAAATACATTTGAAGATTTAGTTGAAAAGTTCTTTTTTTTTGTCACTTGATCCGTACACATTACTTTCAATATGTATGCCGATATGATTTGTGATGTTATGCCACCTATACCTGAAGATAGTGGTGGCAATGGTTCCAATCCTGATGGTACCGGATCAGATAATGGTGAAGAAGCTGAAGCTAATATCGAACAGTTAATGGTATCAATGCTTGAAGAACGTGATAAAGTATTATTATAATAAAAGCAAATGATTTATTCTTATCTGTTTTTTTCTTCTCTCTAAATTTAGCTACAAGAAAAATTACGTGAAACAGAAGATACATTACATTCATCACAGGACAAACTAGTTGAAGTTGAAAAAGAACGTGATGTTTTACTACGTCAACTATCACTCAATGCACCACAGGTTTGTATTTATTTCTTATCTTTTTTTTTTTTGGTGAGATAAAAATTTTCATGTAAACAAGTATATACTATTCATAAATCACGTGAGTTTTAATCAATGTCTATCGAGATACTGAGATCAATCAACATGAAAAAGAAAAAGTTAATAATCGTTGAAAAACCTATCATCATCTGATGACAGATCGATATCTACTTACTATTTTTTTTACAATTGGCGTAAGCAAAGGTTATTTTTGTCATTTATGTCTTATCACATCAAAGTTTCATTTTTCGTATTTATCGATTATATCGATCGTTATGATCAAGGTATCGTTTACATTTGTCTATTTATCTCAATTAATGGTAAATGTTGATGTACTTGACGATAAGCAACGTTTATTTTACTTATGCGTTACATTCAATCTTATATCATATAATATATACGTATATACATGCACCTGATATGATCAAGAGAAAAACTCGTTATTCAAGATAAAGGCCATGTTGTTTTTGATTAACACTTTTTCTTTTTCATATGTCATAGAAATGATCCTCGAAATACTCTATTTCGATCGAAAAGAAATGAAAGATTGTTACTTATGTATTCAGTTAATATATGATTACAAATTTCACAGTTATTGTCATGATGATCAAACAATAGTGATTAGATTGTTCATTGGTGTTCTTCACATCGTTTTCTCTTTCTTTGTTTTATATTCTATTCATTATTTGATTGTTTGCTAGAATACTATATCCATAAGCATCAATGGGAATTGACACACAAACTTCTATTCTGATGTAATTCAATATAGTAAATGAAATGTGACGCTTTATTAGAAGAAACTTGTTATAAGATTAAAAAAGAAAAAAGAGAGTCTTTGCTCAATATTCTCCCATTGACTAACAGCAAATAAACGAACAATTAGAATATATAATGCAAGATAAATAAATGTTATTGTAATTTACACAGACTGAGCAAGATATATGATCGATGTCATACTGTCGAATGACATACTGTTTTCATCGTTCCATATCGTATAATCGAGAATAGTTGGAATAGTAGAAATACTAGTGCGTTGACAATAGTCATTTTAACAATAAACAAACCAATGTATTATTCTTTCTTTATGCATAAGATCTATTTTGGTATTTGTATGTGTCGTTTGCTTACATATTACTCTTTTGTCGGTTTCAATTGATGACAATGCTAAGTGGCATCGCTTGCATGCTTTCATCTCTATACAATGAATGTGATATCGACCTTCATTCTTATTCTCCGGCAGCATCATCATCATCACCAAGCTCACATTGGCATATATACATCTCGTAAACCAACCGTTTAATGCAAGGTCATATTAATTGTTGACAAAGACCGATTAATGATAACAATATTCCCAACTAGTTGCGTGTCATGATAATGATTGAACCACTTCAATAAACAATTGATCGTGACATTAATTTTCACTTCTATTTATTCTTTTAAGTATAGTAGTAAAAGCGACCTGAAAGAAAAGGAGCAACGAAGAGAAACAGAGAGAGAGAGAAAGAGAAAGATAAATAGAAAAGAGAGAACTGAGAGAAAAAAGAAGATCAGAGCAAGGAGAAACGACGAGCAATTCGCTGATTATTTAACTCTACCGACGAACGAGTACATATACACACTTACATTCACGTATATATATATACATGTTTGAACAAACCTGAAGAATCAAACGTTCACACATTTATATATATATATATAAAACTAATAAATTATGGTGAACATCGACTGTCAATCAAGTTCATTTCTCTTTGACAACTCATCGCATCATCTACCTAAAATGAATTCATCAACAAATCTTCACGATTATTTAACAAATAATGTTTCAACAAAAACACCTTTGAATAATATCAATGATGATGACGATGATGATGATGATGATGACGATATAGCAGTTGCCACAAGTCCAACAACAATGACCAATTCCGATAGCAGTGATAGTGCTATTGTTTCTGATGATATGGATGAGATCGATTTAATAACTGACACACAATCTGTATATCGAAATTCTTGGCCTGAAATCCTTGAAAAAAATAATGTAACAATTTCATCATCATCACCATTTGCATCGCTCTCACAATCATTTGATATATTAAATCAATTCGATCAACAAATATTTTATGAAAATTCATTGACTAATCATCATCAACAACAACAACAGAAATATAAACGTCCATTACCATGGTTAAATTCTAATTCATCAAAATCTTCTATATCATTTTCTTCATCTTCATCATCATCTCTTCAGTTACCATTAAATAAGGTTTCTTATTCTTTTAACTAACAAAAGAAAAGAAAAAGAAGTGATTATAAATAATAAATACAATGTTTCTTTTTTTAGGATTATGTTACGCTTGTTCGTGAACTATCTCAACTACGTGAACAATTAACAGAAAAAGAAGATGAAGTTACTGAACTTAAAGCTGAACGTAATAATACACGTGTAAGAATAATTAAATAAATCTATAAAATTCTTTTTAAAAAAACAAAATCCTTTTCTTTTTTGCTTTTTAGTTACTTCTTGAACATTTGGAACAACTTGTTGCTCGACATGAAAGATCCATTCGAACGACAGTTATGCGAAGACAAGCTCAAGGTGTTTCATCCGAAGTTGAAGTACTTAAAGCACTTAAATCTCTATTTGAACATCACAAAGCCTTAGATGAAAAAGTATAAACATTTATCATAATTATCATTTTAATATTTGTTTATATATTTAAAAGGTTCGTGAACGACTTAAAATTGAAATTGAAAAAAATACTCAACTTAAAGATGAACTTGAACGAACGAAAAATGAAGTAATTAAAAAAACAACCTTGACTACCTACCTACTAGATATTCTTAATTGAGTTTTAGCAGGCAAATTCTTTTTCAATAGAATTCATAATTATTGTGATATATAATTTAATATTTCTATCTTTATTTTTAGCTTGCCGGTGTTCGTGAAACACAACAAGCCAAAGTAATTGATATTAATCAATTAAAAGTAAATAGATTGAATGTTTTTACTTTGGATTTAATAATTTTTATTATTTTAATAGACAATGTCTAATGGTACAATTGATCCTGATTCATTAACTGGTAAATTAATTGAAATGCAAGAATTAATGGATAATCAATGTAATGAATTAATATCATGTCGAGCACGTGTACATGAATTAACAAATCGTAATAAAGAATTAGAAGAACGTGCATGTTTATTTCAACGTGATTTATCTCATTCACATGAACAAATAAATAAATATCAACGTGATTTAAAAGAATCTCAAGCACAAAAAGAAGATCAAGAAGAACGAATATCAACATTAGAAAAACGTTATTTAAATATACAAAAAGAAACAACACATTTAACAGAATTTAATAGTCGATTAGAAAATGAATTAGCTACAAAAGAAACTCAACTAATGCATGTATGCAAAATTGTATTTTTCTAAGCTCGATTTTCATCGATCTCAAAAATAATCGGAGTAGTATCGAAGGTCAGACTTGAGTTTGTTCAATAAAAGTTCTTCTAATCTAACTATAGTAAGCACTTCGCAAATCGAAAATTCTTTATCTCGTATCGATACTAATTTAACAAAAAATAATTAACTCGTTGTACGTCTCTATTGACACTGAGAGTATATATATATCATAGATAATCTAATCATAATCATCGTAACGAAATCTTATCAGATCGAATATTAGAATCTTATATAACATTAATCGAAAAGATTTATCTTTAACTATATAGAGGAAATTTCCTTTTGAAATATTTATTCCTGATCTAAGTGCATGTCTTCCTTATTTATCTAGACTGAAGAAAAATATCAAGCTTTACAAGATAAATATGATTTATTAGAACAAAAAATTCAATCACAGCCTGATGTTGATTCATCACTTAAACAAAATGGTATTGAAATTTCAAATAATCTCAATGGATCATCATCTATGCAAACTTATTCGAATAGTCCAAATAATGATGATAAATTACATCAACTTCAAAATGAATATGATGATCTTAAAATGGAATTAACACGAGCTCGTCAACGTGAAAAAGTTACAGATGAACATAATAATCGTTTATCAGCAACAGTTGATAAATTACTTGCGGAATCTAATGAACGTTTACAAACACAATTACGTGAACGTATGCAAACATTAGAAGAGAAAAATCATCTCGTACAAGAAAGTGAAAAACTTAAAAAACAATTAGAAGAAACACAAAATGAACGAGTATGTTTATATATATTTACTTGTATTTTCCATATTTATTCTTTTACTTTTCTACATAGACAAAATTATTAGATGATATTGATAAACTTAAAAATGAACTTGAAAATATTCGAAAAGAATTACAACGTTTACAACAACAACAACAACAGCAACAACAACAACAACAAAAAATGTAAAGAAGTTTAATTTCTCTTAAAAAAATTTTATATTCTTTTTTGTAGTGAACCTCTCCCAACACAAAATCCTCCATCAAATGATTTTGTCACAAATACAACTGATTCATCCAATAGACGTTCACCAATAATGCGAGCTATTAAATCAACACCCACAATATCCGATCATATTTTTAAAGTATACTTTTTTGTTTTGATTTCATAATTAATTACAGTTTTATTTTTTTTATAGGGATCTGAAGCTGATTGGGATACAATTGATCAAGCTCAAGTTATAAATGATGTTCGTCTAGCTTTTGAATCATCTGATGTTGAATTAACAACTGATGATGAAGATTCATTATATCAACATCATCATCCGGTGACAATGAATAATGGAACAATTTCTCAACAACAACCAACACATAATGATGCTCAAACATTAGCACTTGTTTTACAAGAACAACTTGATGCTATTAATAATGAAATACGAATGATTCAAGCGGAAAAAGTTGATGCTGAATTACGTGCTGAAGAACTTGAATCACGTGTTGTAGGAAATTCCGTTTATCATTTAGCTGATGAAGATGAAGAAGAAGAAGAAGAAGATGAAGAATTAAATCATCATCATAGACATCATTCAACAGCAATGCCTAATGGAACAATTAGTCATTATCATTCACATTTATCACAACGTTATTTAAGAAATTCACCGCCAACGACATTAAATACACATACAAATTTTACAGGACGATTACCACCACATACAACAAGTGGAAATCCATATAAATTCAATACAGTAAAATAATAATACAGCATTTCTAAGAGTTTGATATCTATATATTTTGTTTTTCTAGGCTCCACCTAGTATGTCAACTTCACATATGTATGCATTTAATGTAGTCGCTGATCCAACGGTTGTTAATGTAAGTTTCAATTCAACAACAAAAAAGAAGACAAAAAATGTTTGTTATATAATTTTATAGGAATATGATCATGCATTACATCATCAATCTCCACGTACATTTCGAGGTGATTACGGAACACCAACACGTTATTTAAAATGTGAATCAAGTCCGCCTGTAACTCCACCTCGAGTTACAACAAATATTCGAACAGCAACGCCTCATCATAATTATCATTCATCATCAAGTATTCAAAATCAATATAGAATGAATACAAATCCATCGAGAACACCTACACAACATATCGATGAGAATACTAGGCATTATTAGTACGTTAATTAGTAATTATGAAAATAATATTCAATGAATTTATTTCATATTTTAGTCCAAATCCGTCCATGGTTCAGCCAACATCTTTATCCTCAACTGCTCATCAGGATTCTCCAAGTCCAATAAGTTCTCAAAATTCCACATCAGGAGATGATAATAGTATTTATGCTAGAAATCAACAACAACAAAAAAAGAAAGGTATTCGAAATTCTCTTGGACGTTTATTTACACGTAAACCTGGTTCATTTGATAATAAACAAATGCATGAAAGTATTCATCAACCAATATCATCTTATCAACAACATTACTCATCACCTTATGTCACTCGCGGTAAAAATTAATAAAAATTCTAAATAAAATTTCATTTTCTCTTATATTAATTAGCTTCATCTGTACCTGCAGATAGTGCTGGACATAATGAAATGAATGAATCTACTACCGGTACATTACTCAGTTTGGGTAAAACAGAATTTGATCGTCGTATAAAAAAGAAGTATGTCATATATAATTAACAAATTAAAAAGCAAAAAGATTATTTTTCTCTTTAGACAAGAACTACTTGAAGATGCTATACAAAATAGTCGTCCATTTCCAACATGGGATGGTGCAACTGTTGTTGCATGGCTAGAAGTTTGTTTTGAAAATAAAATTATCTATATAATTATATTATTTTTGTTTTTTTGTATAGTTATGGGTTAAAATGCCAGCATGGTATGTTGCTGCATGTCGTGCAAATGTTAAATCAGGTGCAATTATGTCGGAATTAAATGAAGAAGAAATTCAACGTCAAATTGGCATTAGTAATCCATTACATCGACTTAAACTTCGTTTAGCTATACAAGAAATATTAAATTTAACATCACCAGATGGACCAAGAACATCCGTTACTGTAAATAAAGATGATTTTTTTATTAGAAAATTAATTTTTATTTTATTTTTATTTTTTGAAGTCATTAACATTTGGTGAAATGGATCATGAATGGATTGGAAATGAATGGTTACCAAATCTTGGTTTACCACAATATCGTTCATATTTTATGGAATGTCTCGTTGATGCACGTATGCTAGAACATTTAAGTAAAAAAGATTTAAGTAAACAATTGAAAATGGTTGATAGTTTTCATCGGTAAGAAAATCAATCTTTTTCTAAAATAAAATAAAAACAAAACTTTTCTTTTGCTAGTACGAGTTTTCATTATGGTATTATGGTATTAAAACGAGTTAATTATGATAAGAAAGAACTAGATAGAAGACGTGAAGACTCATTGAATGAAAATCAAGATGTACTTATATGGACAAATGAACGAATTATTCAATGGTTAGCAACAATAAATGGATTAAAAGAATATGCAAATAATTTAACGGAAACTGGCATTCATGGTGGTTTGATTGCACTTGATGAAACATTTGATTATAATACACTAGCATTAGCACTACAAATACCAAGTCAACAAACACTGGTAGATGAAGAATATATTTATTTTTATATTTTATTGATTTGTTTTTCTTTTTAGACACGTCAAATACTTGATCGCGAATTTCGTTTGTTAATTGCTAATGGTACCGATAGAAAAATGGATGAAGTAAGTTGAAGAATAGAGCACTATAATGAATAATTTTTACATTTTTCAGCTTGATAGACAGTCATGACAAAGGGGTAAATTAATTGATATTGTGTCTTGTATAGCACATCACTATGTATTTTTTCCACTAGTCATTAGAAAATATTTGTGTATCTTGTTACTTTGATACAAACGAAAAAGAGAAAACTAACCTTGCATTTTTTTTATTATGTTAAAACAATTATTGTATTGAAAATTTTGTTTTATTTAGAATGATCGGGCAAAACTAAAACGTAATCCATCGTTGTTTTCTCGAAAAACGAAACCAAAAACCGGAAATGGTGAAATGGCACATCCCAATGGCATTGATACATCAACTATAACTCCAAATGATGAAACTCAACAATCATAAATTAGCATTAAAATTAATCCAAGAAAGTGTATTTGTTCAGATGTGTGTATTTTCTCTCATGACATCGAAAATCTCTTGATTTCTCTTTTTCGCTTGTATGTATATGTGTGTATGTGTGTGCAATTGTTTTCTTTCCTTGTGTTTTACCCGCGCGATTATTGTCATATATACATATAAATATCTATTTTTTGTTTTTCTTTGTTGTTAATGAACAACACGCACACACACACACCACATACTCATTTACATATGAGTTCCTGTTGCTTTTTTTTATCCACGTGTGTTTAAAAAAAAAAGAAAAGTTTTTTTTTTCTTTATCGAGCGGCTATGCAATAAAAATAACAAATTCATTCTTTATCTTGTTTTGTAAATCAATGAGTGCCGGCACACAGTAGATTTGTAGCTGCAGTGTTTTTTTTCTCGATGTTTGTTTATTTCAATAAAGAAAGTTATTGAGTTAAGTATTCTCCACCAAAGCCTCCCTATTGCTCACATATATGTCGTGTTTTTTGTGCAACTGATAGAGTCATGAATCATCATTATAAATGCGCAGCGATTCATTTCGTTTGATTCCTTTTCTCTTTTTTTTGTACATGATATCAACTTTTTTCTCTTTGTCTATCTCAACAAACGTTTTATAAAATCTCTGTCATATTCTATTTATTATGGAATTGTTTTTCTTTTCTTTTTTGTTTGTGTGTCTCCTTGTCTTTTTCTCTTTAGACGCGCTTTTGATTATTTGTTCTCCTATGCAGATTGATACAAGCCATACAAGAATATTACTTTGTCTTTTGTATGTTTCGAAAATGTGTGAAGTAAGCTTCGTTTTCTCGATGGTTGTTGTGTCAATTATTGTATACGTGTGTTTTTT